TGCCTACATTACAAACTATCCAAGCCTCTTGGCCATTGCGGGGGAGGCTAGAACCTTTGGCAGCTTGGTCCATTGACGTTCAGGCAGCACACAAGTCCATTATGGTGCGCGAGTCTGAACAGGGGCTACTTGGCATTCGAGTGGGTCCCAAGCTCTATTTCTATACAGTTTGTCCATTCGGTGCAGCTTTTTCTGCCTTCTGGTTTGCTCGCCTCGGTGCATTTTTCGTTCGCACACTTCATCGCCTGATTTTCATTGCCCACTGGCTGGCAATGTATGTGGACGACTTACTTGGCTTTCAATCTGCATCAGTTGCAGAGATGAGCTTTTGCATTACTCTATGTTTCTGTGGGGCCTTTTCCATCCCCTTATCCTGGAAGAAATTACAGTTTGGATGCTCCGTTCGATGGATAGGATGGGAGCTCAATTTCAGTATGGGCTGTGTTTGCATCCCATCTGACAAGCTTGAAAGGTTGCATTCGGTTATCGTGTCAGCGCTCCGTGGCAAGTACACTGACCGGGCTACATTGAGCAAGTTGTGTGGCATGTTGCAATGGCTTTTCAAACTTTTTCCATTGGCTAGGCCATGGCTGAGGTCTCTTTATCAGGACCTCAACACTCCACGTGCAACCAACTTCAGTGTTCGACAGAACGACTGGCAATCATTCATTTCTTGCTTGAACGACACTTTACATTTGGTCAAGTTACCTCCTGGAGCGGCGGTTACGGTTGGCAGCCGTGTTCTTGCTGTGAGGCATCACAAGGTTGCCACCAAGCGCGAACTTTTACATTGCAACCTGGGGGATAAGGATATCTGGCTTCGCATTGCGGACTCTGCCTCCAAGCGTCGTGCATTGAGTCCATCCTCCAGAAGTCTGTTGCAGTTCTGGCTTGATTGGTCTGCATTGCCTCCAATTTGGCGATCGCTTCGCCCTATGGAGCATTTACAGGTGGAGGCAGCAGCTGATGCCATGGGCAACGGCCGCACTTTCGCTATAGGCGGCTACATTGCTTTACCAGGTGGTGAATTTTGGTTTTCAGAATGCTTTACTGTGGAGGATTTTGCATTCGCAGAGCTTCCATTGAAATCCGAGGCGCACAAGGACATTACATGTTACGAGTGCCTCGGTCAGATTGCATTAGTTTGGCTTTTGAGTGTTTTAAGCCCAGGATGCAAACTGTCGATTCGCATGCATTCCTGGTGTGACAACAGTGGGGCTGAAGCCACTGCCAACAAGCTGTTCACTACATCCTGGCCTCTAGCTGCATTTGTGCAGCGTCTGGCTATTTTAAGCAGTTTTGCTGGCATCCACTTGGATGTACATCACATTGCAGGCCCAAAGAACACTGAGGCGGACTTTTTGAGTCGCTGGCTTCCACCAGCTGCTTTGCCGGCTCGGTGGAGCCTCTCACGACGGCGTCGAATTTCTTTAAAGGCACTTTGGAATGCCTCGCCTTCCATTTCGATCTCGCCTCCATCTTGGAAGCCGCCTTTCAGCATTCCGAGTAGCTCTCCTTTAGGAGCAGCACTCTAATCACCTTGTCGCACGTTTTTCATTTGGGGAATTGATGCGCGACTTCGGTTCTCTGGCAGATTGCATTTGGGGGAAAACATGCAGACCCTTTCACCGGCAGCTTCCTGCTGCTGAAGCTCGGATCTGCATTTCCCGCCAGAGAACAAAAGGAGCGAGTTTGTGCGAGTGACTGCATCAATTCCCTTTTATACATTCCTTGCTGTATATGTATACATTTTTTTACATATAAAGCTGCATATAGGAAGCAGCTGCGAATACATTAACCGAACGGTATGTGTGCTTGCTCACGAGTGTTTGGTAATGTTTTGCATGCTTGCTGCACTCATGACATTCCATGTGCATTGCAGCAAGCAGGCTCGCAGCTGCCAGCTCGCCTGCATAGCGGGCAAAAACTTTTGTCCCACCCACCTCTTCCCTTGTCTGGGTGCGAGTGCTGGCGACTGCACTCTTACACTTTCTTCTACTGGCTTGCATTTGCATTCGGTTGCCTTTATGCGGTCTGTCCTTTAAAAGGATGGGTCCATCTGCATTCCCTCTCTCTATGGCAGGTCGGTGCCTTTTGATGCACCTAGATCCCATCTGGGGAGGGGGAAAACATGCAGACCCTTTCACCGGCAGCTTCCTGCTGCTGAAGCTCGGATCTGCATTTCCCGCCAGAGAACAAAAGGAGCGAGTTTGTGCGAGTGACTGCATCATTTCCCTTTTATACATTCCTTGCTTTATATGTATACATTTTTTTACATATAAAGCTGCATATAGGAAGCAGCTGCGAATACATTAACCGAACTCGAAGAAGCAGCCTTCCTGCTTGGAGAACTCGTTGATTTGTGGAGCTCTGTGCCTGTAGCTATCTTCCATCGCTTGCTGATCATAGGGTTTGGAGGCTGTTGCGGAGTATCTCCTGCTGTGGCGAACTGTGCCTAATAAGGGGAAGTGCTTACTTCCTTCTCTCCATGTTGCTACTGGAAATGTCCGAAGTGGCCTGCTAAACCTAGCTGGGCCTTGTGACTGGGAAAGGCGAATAAAGGAGAAATCAATCTGTGACACCGAGTTGCCCTGTACATGGGTAGCAGGCCTGTGCACTCCCCAGGTGTTTGGTGCTACAAGCTGATGTTCTGTCAATAGAGACTGAAGATCCCTTGGACCCTCGGTGTCCAAGGCGGCAGGCCTGAATCGTGCAGGGTTCCACGTGCTTATTATCAGTTTTGAGAGACGCATTGAAGTCTCCAAGCGCTAGAAGAGTGTTTCTATTTGGGACTGCTCTAATGGACTTGCTGAGAGCCTGGAGGGTCTGTTGTCGGAACTATACTGGTAGCAACTGAAGACGTCCAGAGAGATGCCATTGCTAGGCGCCCGGACCTGGAGAACACGACCGGGGACCACTTCGTTGAAGCGAATCTCTTGCTGTTTGCACAAGGTAGAGTGTACCATTATCAAGACACCGGCTCCCTTTTCGCCCGATGTGCCGGAACTAATCACGTGCCACCCCTCCTTGCTACATTGCCAGGAGCCTCTCCAGTGAGTTTCTTGGATAGCAACCAGCTTAACCTCTTGAAATGCTCTAGTCTACAGAACGGAGAGTAACTCTTCCCAAACTGCAGTGGTAAGTGAGCCCGCGTTCCAGGAAAGACAGCTGACATTCTTATCCAAAAAGAACTTCGAAGGTTTAACTCTCCTACTTGGGTTGGGGGTCTTATCTGCCACCGGAGTGACTCCAAACTCTGATGACGACATCCTTCCTCCCTTGTAAACCGCACTACCTTCATTCAGAGCTTTGCGTGCCGCCCTTTGATAATAGCGTTTTCCTTTCCCTTTAGGAACGGGCGGGTGATGCTTGGTCGAGACACTAGGCTGTTTCGCAGTGCTCATGTTGAGCGCTGCTCCTGTCGGCTGCGCAATTACCGACAACCCTCACCTCTGGGAGCTGCTAGAAAGCTGTAAATCTAAATGCTCCCTCCCGGACAAGGAAAGCTGAACGTTTTCTCCAACAGACCCTTATTGGAGCGTTCCCTTCAAAAGCTCGCCTTTCAGCGCCTCGCTCCTTTTGCCTTCACTCCTTTCCAAACTCATTCAGGTTTCTTTGGAAGGGACTCCAAGAAACCTCTTGAGGCACTCGGAATCGCTTCCGAAGAGCTCGCAGGCCCGAAAAATCGCTTCCTAGAAGCTCGCAGGCGGACAAATCGCTTCCAAGTAGCAGGCCTCCCAAATCGCTCGTGGCTCGCAGCACTTTCGAATTGCTTCGTGGCCACTCGCAGGCTGCAGCGTCTTGGCACGGATCAGACAGATCAAGGGTGGAGCTTATCTTGAGGAAACACTCCTTATGTGTTTGTGTGGACGACTGGTTGCAAATCATGCATTTTCGCGTCCGTCTGTTCCAATGTAAGCACTAGTTCCACCTTCACCAGTCTTGGACTTCGGCCTTGGCCTTTGGTGTGCACGACTCGCAACAAACAAGGCATGAGGATGTTCGTTGTCCGACGGGACCTCACTGTCACCAGTCTTGGACTTTGGCCTTGGACTTTGGTGTGCTCGACCGCAAAAAACAAGGCATAAGGGATGTCCGTTGTCCGACGGACTAGAACGGTGTCCGGAGCCTTGGATTTGGGCTTCACTCGTTGCTTTGGGACCTTGGGTGCCGACCCACTGTCACTTTGCTGAGTCGCTGAGCGTGGCCTGTTTTTGACTCGCTGAACAGCTTCTGCTGACTAAGTCCGCACGCTACAGCTGATGCGTAGCCATGTTCATATGCCCCGTTTCACCACTGTTTTCTTGTGTTTGTGTTTGTTTGGTTGTAGTTTTCTGGGGCCGAGTGCTATTGTCGTAGCCGACGAGGCCCGCAGACGCCAAAGAAAATGTTTTCAGCCAGTGCTCAACAACTGCGGAATTTTGCCGAGGGAGACGGGCGTTTGAATTACCAAAGTTTTGCTGGACGTGCAGCGACCAGTGTCAAAAGCGACCGCGTGTTGTGTGTTGAAGTGAATGTTTCTGCGTGTGTTGTGCTGTGTTTCTGTCTGTCAGTGTGTGTGTTGTGCTGTGTGTGGTGCCAAGGGAAAGGGAGGGGGGGCGGCGACCGGGTGCCGCGCGCATGGCGGTGGCAGCGAAAAACCAAAAAACCCGCAGTGATGTGGGGAATAAATCCGTCCATCCATCCATCATGGTTTTTGACGATCAATCTCCGGCTTTTGGTGTCATTGCGGTTGTTGGAAAAATGTATTCATATATTTTTGTATTTGGTGTCGTTTTATGTGTTTGGGTAGTTGTATATCTATGTACATGGAATGCAATTTGCGAATGGAGGCTGGTGCAAACCGGCCCATGTCACGTGCTGGATGCAGCTTCTTCTGTTCTCAAGCAGTACCATCCATTTCCTTCCTTCTCGATCCCAATTTGCATTTGCAGGCTTCGGGTGAACTGTCGTTTGCCATGTGCTGATTGCTCGTGAGTGCGGCTATCGCGAACCCTGAGGACACATGACATCGAGCAGTGCCGAATGGACAAAGGAGCTCCGGTTGAGCTACAGTAGCATTGGCGTTTGTTGTGGCCGCATCCGCAGGTGGATGATTTTGTCGAATCCCGTGTGGAAGGTTGGCACGCAATGTTCAAAGAGAGGGATGGGAGAGAGAAACAGGAAACAGACAAGATCAGACTCAGACGCCAGCCAAGGTTCACGGCGTTCCACGGCTTACAGGCCACCAGTGGGCAATCAAGGTCGGCTTTGGAGTCATGCGGGATGACGTGAACATATTGGGGCCTATCAGGCAGACCGTCGAGTCGGACTTCGCAGGCAGAGCGCCATGTCCTCAGTTGTTGGCACGGCTGGGGGCTACGCCAAGCAATGTTCTGCTGTCCCGAATGATTATTCGTCTTCAAGCTTAACAAGAGGAGTGTGGATCTTCTTATCGAAACGCATTTCCCCGGCTGGCGTACTTGCTCTTATTGACTCATAGCGGCAGTGCAGTGTTCTGTTGTCCGGAGGGTTTTCGTGGGCTACTCGGTGAAACGCCCGTAGCTTTCGCGCAGCATCCAGGTGGTATAAATTTGGCGTACATGTCATGTACATGCCCACTGCCATGTCCAGCTTTCGTCAGGACCAGTCCTCGACGCACATGTGCCGTCCAGGTGACATGCGCGAAGTTGTCAAAGCCCGCAAGTCTTACAACTTGGGCAGTGATGGAGGCATTGAGTGAGGTGCAACTTGGACAGAGCGGTCTTTGCATTCGACTTGGCAGGTGCAGGCGAATTCGCAGGCCGGGAAGCTGAAGCTCGAGCTGCCCCCGCGAGCGGTGAGTTGCGAATTTTGGTGACATGTGCCTCAGGTGCCCCACGCCCTTCTTCCAGTACCCCTCGCAAATCCAACATGACGACGACTGACGAAGGCCGATATTATGGGATTTGTTGAGTCGGATGTCCGCATCTTTGCAGGTGAGCCTGACCTGCTTCAGCCTTGTTCTGTTGAGCGGCTGCCGCATTGTCAGAGCTGTCCGGCATGCAGCATCTGCCAAGGTCGGACGAGTCGGATGCCGACACAGAGGCGACCAGCTAAGTTTTGACAGAGCTTCAATCTTGCGCTTGCATTTGCTTTTCCTGTGGACTTGCACGACCGCTGGACATTCATGACGACTAGCTCTCAGCAGGTCTTCGTGTCAGATGACGAAAGCTGGAGAAAGGTTGCTGAGGCACTGTAGTGGGAAGTGAAGCGTCCTCCAAAGCGTTTCCACAAGCCTCGAAGGAAGTGCTTGTGTTTGGTCTCGTCCGGGTATGGCTGGCGTGACTGGTTCTGCCCCGGAAAACAAAATTCACAATATGTCGATCCTGGCCAGGCAGCTTCAGCTACAAGTTTTGAAATGTGGTTGTTCGAAAAACTTGTGCATGATCTCCCGCCAATGTTGGACTTTGGTATTGCATGCAGATGTATAGGGCTGGTTGGCCAGGTTGGTCCACCAACATGCTCCTATACCGTTCACCATTCAAGAGTTTCCAAGGCAATAGGCAAAGCCGGGGCATTCCTGAGTATGTTAATTCGAGTTTTCATTACGCTTGTTGCATCGAGAGACAATGTACGGTGGACGAAGCTTTTGCAGGTTGGATTTGCTTACAGTCGGCGCAGGTTGGTTGTTGACACGTCATTCTGCATGGCAGGTCTTTGGAAATGTGCCGAGTTCCGACCTTGTCAGATCCCGTGCCAACATTGGTTAATTGCTGCTTGACTGAGGCCAGCATGCCACGCAAAGTGATGGAGCAGGCACTGGAAGGGAAGATTGAGTGTTCATGAGCTTTGATCAAAGCAGGACGACAGCATTCTTTCGAACAGCATCGTCCGCTGTCTAAGGGCTGAAAGTGACGTTGGAATGCTTGCGGATCTTGAAGGTGCTTGGCGTCTTTCGAGGACGAGCCACCCAGCTGAGTTTTTTTGGTTCTGGAAGGGGACAAGCAGCCGTTGCAAGAGAAGTCGTTCATGTTTACTACACCTGGCACTGCTTGGCTGGCATGAACCCACGTGATGCACCATGGCACGTCTCCCCCTTTGCCGGCTGGCTGCGAGCACCGGAGATTCGGTACTTTCGAGGTGACGCTGGTTCAACAGTACGCAAGTCCCAGAACTACAACGCGCAGGGAGGTACCTCGGATTGGAGCTTCAAAAGCTGCAGGGAACCAGAACTAGACCTAAAACCTGCGTGCGTTTACGCATGCCATCGTTCTATTCTCTTTAAACTTCTCTCCAAACTTGTTTATGGACTCTAAATGCATGTGTACACGGACCTACATGCGTACATAGATACATGCACGCGTCCATGCGTACATGGCAACACACAAACCTGCATGCATGCACACATGCAGACATACATATATCATGCAGACATAAGGACACACTTGCATGCATACACCCCGTCACTAATCACATACATACAGACATTGAGAAAATGCCCACGTCTGCAGACCGACACGGGCAAGCACACTTTGCATGAAACTTCCTGTCGCCATCCGTCCGCATCTGAGTATCCACGCCACGACATAATCAAATGATGCTGTACCTGACAAGGCTCAGATTCTGTGAAAGTATAGGCATGCATGGACGAACATCATGTGCACATATGAGCTGATACCGGCAGCATTTTGGGGTGAGCAACCTCCACCCGTTTTTTCTCGTGTTGTTCTTTTTGGTTTTTGCTGCTGCTTGCGCGTCACATGCCTGAGGTGGTTTTCGACCTTCGATTTCCAGAGGGTCTCAGTACCAGGGCCGCGGCGATGAAGGCCCTATGCCATGTGCACACGTTGAGTCACAGTCTTGACGCTATGCCAGGTTGTTGTTGCTGTTGCTTTTCCTGTTGCTATTGTTGCAGCGGTTGTGTCTGCTCCCGGCATTATCATTGTTGTTATCATAGTTTGCTTTGTGAGGCAACATTCGGTTATCAATTGGCCGCATGTCACAAAGTTTAAGGAAGGACGATGGTGGCATGGTCTGGTGCGTGCTGTGCAACCTGTGGTGAAAAAATAGTAAGTTCCTCTTTTCGTTTCGGTGTCAACACTGTTTTTCTACTTGGGGTGAACTGCATCTTTTTTCGTGTCAGCCTTGTCTTGTTCTGCAGATTCGGGCTTGCGCTTTGGGATTTTGGCAGTAGGGTCTTCGGGTGCGGGGGTACTCGGGTTTAGGGCTTAGGGGTTTGGGTCCAACCTTTTTTGTGCCTGGGGGTTTGCGGTTTGTGGCTTGTGGTTGAAGCACTTCAGCCATGCGGGTTTGCGTTTGTGGTTGAGGGCTTGATTAGGGTTTACGATCTGGCGATGTGGGTTTAATTCAGGGGTTTTAGGGTTAGGGATTAGGGTTAGGCTTCAGCTTGTAAGGTTTAGGGATTATAAGGCTGATAAAACCGTTCGGGTTTAGGTATGGGGTTCTGTTAAGTTTGATTTCGCTTCGGGGTGTTAGGGTTTACGATTTCGGGATGAGGGTTTGGGGACTCGAGTTTGGGATTGATAGGGTTTGGGTGTTCGGGCTCAAATTCCAGGGTTCACGGCTTAGGGAGTAGAGTAGGGTTTGGGTTTACGCCCGGTTTAGGATCCAGGTTTTGGGTTTGGGGCTGGGAGATGAAGGTTTAGGGTGTGGGATTTAAGTGCTCGGGTTTCCGTTTGGGGGGGAACGATGTGTCTGACTTGGCCGTTCAGCTGTTTTGTTTCTGCTTCCAAACCGTCACTCGCCCTCCCGGTTACGTCATGTTACATCAACTCACAACCCGAAGACCCCAATCCGAAAACCCAACCGAACGGCGTGCAAAGAAGTCAGTTGAAATTGGGGTAACCATCCACGAATTCGGCGAACGCTACTGGAAACAGGACAAAGAAAGACATAGTTCTGTCAAAACGAAAGATGCAGCTAACGCAAAAGAGAGAGACACAGTTCAGCGCGCTTGCCATTTGTGGCTTTGGTGGATGTAGGGCAAAACGTTCTCGATGAAAGTGTTGTTGGGATGATCTGGGCCGGTAGCAGTCGAACGTCGCAGCAGTACACTGACTCTGGAGGTGCATGCTATGAACTTGTTGTTTGGTTTCTGTGGTGCTCTCTGCTGGTGCTGGTGGCCGTGGTGGTGCTGCTGCCAGAATTGTAGTAGTCGTGCTGCCCAGCTATCGCTCGGAGAGCTTCGGTGGTCGATCCCCAGACGTTCGCAGTACCAGGGTGAAGACAGCGAAGGCCCCGTTGCTCGTCACATGTGTTGTTGTTCATGCTAGTTGGGAAGCAATTCGAAAGGCTTCAGCCAGTGGCAAGTTCCTGCCGGGTGTCGGATTCGCCAGGTGATTTACGGCGTTCGACTGCCCGCAATTCTGAAAGTTTGAGGCCCGGTGAAGGTGGCCTGCACTTTTCAGTGTTGTGTAGTGGACTGCTCTGTGGTTGTGGTGTTAGGCAAGATAAGCTCTTCGGATCACGCAGTGTTTCATGCAGTCGCGTTCACAGACAAATGAGAAGGATGCTGTAAAATGGCCTGACTGGGAAATTCTGTCTTTTGTGGGTCCCTGCTGGTGGTTTGTGGCTGCTGCTGCGATCGCTGCTGGTGCTGCAGGGCTGGTGTGCCATTCAGCTGCATCACTGATGTGAGCTTCGACAGTCGATTGCCAGACACTCTCAGTACCAGGGCCACGCCGACGAAGGCCAGTGTAACTTGTTGGTGGCATTTTCCTGAGCATGTGCAAGAGCGGCACAAGTTGAAGCACGGTGGGCATACACTTCAGACTCAGACGGTGCCAAGTCGCTCTCGAACTTCAGATTTGCCAGGTGATGTGCGTCGTTCGATTTCCCGCAAGTCGGAAAGTTCGAGGCCTGACGAAGGTGGCCTGCACTGGCTGCGGCTTTCAAAGCATTTTAAACGAACTGACAGCCCGGAGAAATCAGGGTAGCTTTCGCTCGAGATCGCCGGGAGATTCTGGGCATTCTGGATCCTGCTGGTGAGTTGAATCGCTGACTTCACGCCTCACACGCCGTACTGCGATGTGTGGCGACGCGTCACGTAGTGAAACAGTGGAATGGTAATTTTGCGGTTGTCCGGCCGCACCGCCGCATCTCGGAGGTGATCTTCGATATTCGACTGCCAGGCGTTCTCAATACCAGGGCCACGACGACGAAGGCCCGTGTTACTTTGCGCATATGACATAATCATACATAATCAAGCGGAACTTGAAAGAAACTGCGCGTGCAAGACGACAGACGGTGCCGAGCTTTTGATTTGAAAGGTGACGTGCGTCGTTCCATTGCCCGCAAGTCGGAAAGTTCGAGGCCCGACGAAGGTGGCCTGCACCCATTTGTCCCAGACGGTTCTGAGATGTTCTGAGCATATGGTGGATGCTACTAGATGTGGGGTTTGCAATCCAGCCTTCGTCACTTCGACCGTCGCGAAATGCATGAAGGCTTTGCATAACATGCGCGTGCCTTCCGACTTGTACGATGCTTCGCGAAACTTCTCCAAAAGCTCGGGTGAAACGAGGGTGGAGCGGTAAGCCGCGGTGTGCAACTCAGCTGAATTCCTGAGGTGAGCTGCGTCAGTCGATGGCCAGGCGCTCTCACTACCCGGGCCTAGACGAAGGCTCGCATGCTTATCATAAGTGACGCTGTGAAATTGGCATCGGGAGTCAGGTTTGCCCGGTGATGTACGACGTTCGATTGCCCGCAAGTCTCAAAGTTCGAGGCCCGACGAAGGTGGCCTGCACCCGTTTGTTCCGCATTCGGTATATGTTGTCCAGAACGTTGCAACAGCTACATCTGGCGACCCATAGGATGGGTAGTCATTCCGATAGTGGGGGATGGAACAATTGGTTTAGACTGTAGCTGCTCCTTTTCTTGCTTTAATAGCCTGTTGTTGCAATTACTTTCATTATCATTATGGGTTTTTTTATGATGGTTAATGGTGTTGGCATTCTAGCTGCTACAAGCTACTATGATTTTTTGCTATTATCACACTTACTGTCATCATTGTCACCATTAATTTTTCGTATAAGCTATTACTAACTATTATTCCTCTCATTATTTGTACAATGATCAACTTCAGTATTGTTGCAATTATTATTATTACTCGCATCATTCTTATTTTGTCATCACTGCTCTCATGATGAGCATTACTATTGCCATAATTGTTGTCATTGCTATCACTATCATTCTAGTCACATTTGCTATTATGACCACTACCATTAAACGAGCATCAACACTAGTATCTTTGCATTGCCATATTTCGGTTGTTTTAGTTTTGCGAATACGTTATGTTACTATTGATACCAGCTGTTATCGCTATGATTTATGATATGTGGTTTTATTAGGCTGGAGCGATTAGTATTGGTTTCATTGATACTAGTCCATCCTCCCCTCTAAGCACAGGGAACCCAGCCTCCAACCCATGCACACCCCAAAGGAAGAAGACGGGGCTCCAGGTTTGCTGCTGACCACCGAAGACAAAAATGCATGGTATTTCTTGGCACGACACTATGGCAGGCTCCAGATTCGTTCTACGAGTGTATGTGTATGGAGTAACCCGTCTTCCAGAAAGGCTCCGAGACTTGTTGGGCAACCACAAACACCAAGGCACTGAATCGGAATATTTCAACGGCTTCGAAATCCCCACGACCAGTCAGAGCTCCTTATGACCAGTTTTGCAGTTATTAATGCCCACGAGGATCCCCGTCATGCACAAGCTCTACATGTTATCAAAATCATGCTTTAAGCCCCTTGAGAACCAGACTTGACCCGTGTTTTGTAGTATCCTTAAGGGAGGGGGGTCCAAGGGGGGTATATAGCCTAGTGATCCCTAATTCTCCCTAGTACTCCCTAAGGTTCCCTTACAGTCCCCTAAGGATTCCTTATACCCTCCCCCCTTGAACCACCCTCCCTTAAGGATCCTATAAGTGTTGAAGCCCTGAGAATCAGCTCACATCCTAGTGAAGCCCCTCAGAAGCAGCTGCAAAGCCCAATAAAAAAACCCGTGGAAGCAATAGTAAACCCCTTTACAACTCCTTTTAGTTGTGGAATGGTTGTGGTCGTCGTCGCGTTGTCGTCCTAATCATTGCTGTTGTGGAGTTGTTGTCGTCCAAACAACAGGAGACGAACTTTTAGGACCAGGAGCAGACACATTGGTTGACACTGCACCTGTTCTGTGTTCGTTGGCATCATTGTTGTTGCTGGCTGGGGCGGGTGATGCTGCTGCTGCTGCCAGCCATTGCTGTGCTTTCCTGCTGCCGTACACCATTGTACACCGCTGAGGTGAACCTTCGGTGCTCGATTGACAGACGTCTTGCTCACATGGAGTAGTTTCCCAGGTGTTTGTTTTTGGGCGTCAGATTTGCGAGGAGATGCACGTCGTTCGATTGCCCGCAAGTCCGAAAGTTCGAGGCCCGACGGAGGTGGCCTGCACCTGTTTGTCCCAGCCTTCGCCACCTTTAAGGTCGTGAAATGCATCAAGGCTTGGCATAGCATACATGTGCTACTTCAAGCATTGTAAGATGCTTCGTGAAACGTCTTCTCCAAAAGCTCGGGTGAAACAAGATCGAGCTTTAGAAAGGCTGTCAGCCGCGGTGTGCAACACAGCTGAAATTCCTGAGGTGAGCTGCGTCAGTCGATGGCCAGGCGCTCTCACCACCAGGGCCCAGACGAAGGCTCGCATGCTTGTCAGTCGCGTAACTGCGCATAGGACTTGTTCAGAAGTTGCGAGACGCTTTTCTGAGACTGGCATCGGGAGTCAGGTTCGCCAGGTGATGTGCGACGTTCCATTGCCCGCAAGTCGGAAAGTTCCAGGCCCGACGAAGGTGGCCTGCCCCTGCTGTGGGCGTATGGTGGATGTTCTTGAAGAATTCCAGTGGTAGGCAGTGCTCTTCATGTGCAACATTGCGCCAACTAAATCCAGCCGACAAACGAAGCATGTGAAACACTTTCTTTTGTGGTTCCTGCCGGCAGCGGCAGTGCCATTCAGCTGCATCGCTGAGGTGAGCTTCGACAGTCGATTACCAGACAGTCTCAGTACCAGGGCCACGCCGACGAAGGCCAGCGTAACTTGTTGGTGGCATTTTCCTGAGCATGTGCAAGAGCAGCACAAGTTGAAGCACGGTGGGCATACACTTCAGACGGTGCCAAGTCGCTCTCGAACTTCAGATTTGCCAGGTGATGTGCGTCGTTCGATTTCCCGCAAGTCGGAAAGTTCGAGGCCTGACGAAGGTGGCCTGCACTGGCTGCGGCTTTCAAAGCATGTTAAACGAACTGACAGCCCCGAGAAATCAGGGTAGCTTTCGCTCGAGATCGCCGAGAGATTCTGGGCATTCTGGATCCTGCTGGTGAGTTGAATCGCTGACTTCACGCCTCACACGCCGTACTGCGATGTGTGGCGACGCGTCACGTAGTGAAACAGTGGAATGGTAATTTTGCGGTTGTCCGGCCGCACCGCCGCATCTCGGAGGTGATCTTCGATATTCGACTGCCAGGCGTTCTCAATACCAGGGCCACGACGACGAAGGCCCGTGTTACTTTGCGCATATGACATAATCATACATAATCAAGCGGAACTTGAAAGAAACTGCGTGTGCAAGACGACAGACGGTGCCGAGCTTTTGATTTGAAAGGTGACGTGCGTCGTTCCATTGCCCGCAAGTCGGAAAGTTCGAGGCCCGACGAAGGTGGCCTGCACCCATTTGTCCCAGACGGTTCTGAGATGTTCTGAGCATATGGTGGATGCTACTAGATGTGGGGTTTGCAATCCAGCCTTCGTCACTTCGACCGTCGCGAAATGCATGAAGGCTTTGCATAACATGCACGTGCCTTCCGACTTGTACGATGCTTCCCGAAACCTCTTCTCCAAAAGCTCGGGTGAAGCGAGATCGACTGACAGAAAGGTGGAGCGGTAATCCGCGGTGTGCAACTTAGCTGAATTCCTGAGGTGAGCTGCGTCAGTCGATGGCCAGGCGCTCTCACCACCAGGGCCCGGACGAAGGCTCGCATGCTTATCATAAGTGACGCTGTGAAATTGGCATCGGGAGTCAGGTTTGCCCGGTGATGTACGACGTTCGATGGCCCGCAAGTCTCAAAGTTCGAGGCCCGACGAAGGTGGCCTGCACAGAAGTGACTACCATTCATTGCTGGCGGTCGCTCTGCGGAATTGCTCGAGTCAGCACCAGTGGCCCTTGCCGATCTGCGGCTTCGGGCGATTTCAGCTGTGATACTTTCTTCTTTGTCAAATGATTGCACAAAGCCTAGAATCCCAAAAGATTGAAAAAGCACGTGTTTTCCCCATGCCTTTCGTGATGGTCATTACTGAAGCTGGCCAGTGTGTACCACAAACCGTAACACTCCGGCCGTCCCGTCGCTAGAAGGCCCATGGCACAGAGATCAACCCCCCCACTCCTGCAAAAAATCGCAGAAGATTGCGGGACTCTGGGTGCAAACCCCGTAGCAGTGACAGGCAAATCAAGCCTGGCAGGCCGATTGAAGTCTTCGCACATTGCCGCCTGTGAACGCCTTGCTATAGACCTCAGGTGAATTGCCACAGCTTCCCCTTTACAAGCGGTGGCAACCATGTGTCACGAAAGTGTCAGGCAACGGTCATGACCAGCGGTAGCATGACACCGCGAGGCCCTTGCCGTTTGCCGTTCGCCTGAAAGGTTCCGCCCCCTTGCAAGACATGGATGTGCTTCTTTGGGCTTCGCAGCCTTTACACTTCACCAAATGCCACGAAGCTGACGCTCCTCCGCTCCTGATGACGGCATTTTGATGGGGCTTCCGGTCCAATGTTCTGTCGCACAAAGCTGAAAGGAGTGATGCTGGACGCTCTGCATTGGGCAGTCCCGTGCAACCCTTCTTGGTGGTTGTGTTCGAGCCGCTCATCTTTGTGCTTGTGGGTGGTGCTGCTGCTGAGACGCTACCGCCGCTACAGCTGCCCCTGCTGCCGCTGCTGTCCTTGCTGGTGCTGCTGCAGCTGCCGCGTGGCCGTTCGAGTTCCGGACGCGCGCAGGAACACCAGAATTGACCTAGGACTGTTCCACAATGCCCGGCAGTCGTATGGCTTTTATGGTTCCAAGACCGTCGGGCTGTCAGATCTGCCAGGTGAGGTTCGCCGTTCGATCGGCCGCAAGTCAGAAAGTTCGAGGCCAAGCGAAGGCGCCTGGCTGGCTGTGCTGGAGCTGTGTCGCTGTTGATAATGTAGAATTCACAGGCGGCAAGGCTCTCCGGCCAATTTGGATGTCTGTATTGCTCGGTGATGTGCACCCTTCCATCGCTTTGCATTCGCAGCTGCATGCATAGGGGGACTCGAGTATCAGATGCTATCGAGATGTTTGGCCTGGCCTTTTCGTCCAGGGCACACCCACCGTGCCAGTCGTAATGGGGACGAAGGAAGACCGGTGCTTATTCCCTCCCGGCCTTGTCCGGAAATCCAGACCGTTCACGTTCCGAGGTGCGGCTGGATTCTCTCCTTCGTCCAGGAAGTCAGACTATGGCATGGGAAATGCAGGCAAACACGGACGTTGTTGTTGAAGTTGGTGTTTGGCTTGGGACACTTCAGAGACCGAAATAACCTGGTGAGAAGACCTGAGTGTTTGATCCGTGCAATGCTACAATGGTTGGGTCTTTGAATTCTCTTCGGCTTCCTCGCCTCATGATGGCTTCCGGAGCATGAGGCATTGGAATCCAGAGTGCCGCAGGATACTACTGCATCGTTTGACCATAGACTCGCACGGGGGAAATGCCCTTGTATATGCCGAACTGTGTCTGTTGTGATGTATTCTGTGCGTATCTCGCCACTATCTATACATCGATAGCAGATGCAATCGGTATGTCAACTTGCACGGCGCACGCTCGCCAAGAACTATCTCTAGTGCTTTTGATGCGCTTCCTTGGAGTGTGTCGTGCTGGCATACTTTACCATCGAAAGTGGTTCGTGGCCATTTAAGGCATCCTTCCGTTTCTCGTTCCATCGTGCTCGACTTTTGGGTTCATGCATTCTGCCATATTCTGCTGTTTCGTAATGTGATCCAAAAGCTTTTCCGGCTGGTCCGCAGCTTCGAACGCAATCGCATGTTTTCGAGTTTTTGGTGAAGGGCCCAAAGAGTGCCGTTCTAAAGTCGTGGTGCTACGGTCGCGAATGGTTTTACTTGTGGCATTGGGATTTTGTGTCTGCAAAAGGGTGCGTACTTTTGAGCCACAAGGGAAGGTGCCAAGCCCCGAAGTTGATCTGCCGGAATACAGGCCGACGAGCTTCTCGCCGCAGCACGCGGCTGTCGGAAGGCAAGTTGTCGTGTGCCGGAGATTGCATCCACACCCAATCCAGCGAAGGTTCTGAGCAGCGAATGTTGTCCCAGCCGCCGCAGCTCCCTCGGCCAACCCTTTAGCCTCACTAACTGCTGATACGGCAAGCTTGCGAATACGTCGAGCTTGACAAGATACTCTTATATCGTTTGAGCATTGGCTTCCACACATCGCTGAGGGTGTCACCGGACTCCACCGAGACAGAGCTTTTCACTGGTGATGGCCAAGACGGCTTTCAACGCAAATCGGAGGTTTTCTGGCATACGAGTAGACAGAAAGGGACTTGGCTCTGCATGGCTCTGCAAGGTCCGTCCTCCCGAGCGACCCACCGAACTGACACTCGTTCTTGATGCAGACAATATCGACGAGGACGGCTGTGGCATTGTCGAAGATGTGCCTTGCTATGTTGCACTCGAGGCGCTGTTCAGCTTGAAATTCACACACACCCTTCTCTCGTGCTGCAGATGAAGTCCATCGTCTGGAAATTCACCGAGCAAGGGGCTTGCGTGAAGGCCCTCAACAAGCACTGTCCCAAGGCCTGGGCGTGTCTGAGTTGTCAGCGCCTGCCATGAGATACTGGTATGGATATGCAGTGTGCAGGCTGAACCTGAGGACATTCGAGCTGGTGATATCTTGATGTTCATCAATGAGGAGTTTGTCTTGGATACGGAAAAGTCAGGTCCTCAGGCTTTGCCACCCGGATCTGCTTCTGTTTCTTAGTGCCTTCCGACAATCTCCAAGGAAGATCACCCAACGAATTTGGAAAGATGAGAAGCTCGGCTTAGCCAAATATGGATGAGGCGATGAAAATGCGTGTGTGGGCGCGCCTGAATTGATATTTAGGTGTAGTTTCTGGGTTTGTGGATAACTTTGCGTTGGACAGTTCAATGGTCCGATGAAGAAGGCAAGGAGAGCTGTTGACAGCACACTGTGGAACACTGATCTCTTCAGTTTGCCTGTGGAAGGGATATCAGGATAGCCACGCAGGCGTGACTGTGCAGATGATGTCAGCGCACCTAGCTGAAGGAAAAGAACACGTCAAGCACATGCAGTAACATGACAGTTTAATATCGGGTTTGCAGCGGCCCGATGAAGTATGTGCACGGTGGCGTCGGCGGGACTTCTGAGCAGTGCTTCGGGATGCTTGGTGCTTGCGAAGGTACTGCAAGTACACGCTTCTGTTTGGCCGCCGGTAGAAACATGACGGGTAATCCGCACATCGTGAAGGGCCGGAAGGTCAGGCGAGCAAGACTTGTCGATGGTGTTAGTTGAGCAACAGCAACAGCCACCGTTTTTTCTGCAAGTTTTCGGGCCTTGTCGAACCTGAAACTGTGTGGCCTCTGCATGCACCGGTCTAGTTTGAGCTTTGCACAGGGTTTCCATGGTTCCATCATCCAGCGATGTTATCGACAGGGTGCTTTTTCGTCTTGCTCACGTAGATGACGCCAGCAGAGACTTTGAGACTCACGAGCATATCGTTGTATCAAAGCTGAAACGCACAGGTGCAGGCGTTTCATTCCGTCTTTCGATGCGTGTGTGCGAGGCAGAGTTCACTTGCGGGTCGCCTGAACTGAGGCAGCTGGAAAATCAGTTCCTCACCCTGCGTTAGAGCCCCAGCGACGCCATGTGCAGCGGTTTACTGCAGTGATGCGTGAACCTATTCCTTTAGAGATGCCGTGAGTTGCGGGCCTAGCAGTCAAGCTTTTGAAGCTGCTGAACATTGTAGTAGCTAGATCGTAGGTGCAATGCAGGTCCAGTGCAAAATGGACAGGTCGGGTTGTGCCGCTCAGGTTTCCGGGCGTGGGGATGAAGGTGAGGCAGACGGCTTGGTCGTTAGCAATTCCGAGAACTGGACTCCGGCACTGCAGTTCACACAGCAGTGACAGTGAATCGAGTGACCTGGATCTTTGATGCTCAGATTACGAGCATCTTGTTTGGAGTGAGGGATTGCTTTGGCTTTTGTTCGGATGGCTGCGTAAAGCGATGAAGAACGAGAAGTGTCAAACCACGAAAGCAGCAATATTTACGTCATGAATGCAGGTGGGTGAAGGTCCAAGTTCCAATTCTGGAAGCGACTTGGTTGTGCAGAACAAACAGATTCCGCGATTTTGTTAGATTCCGCGATTCTGTTTGCCACGATTTACTGCTGCTGCTGTTGTGCAAGTGTGCATGTTCATGGCTTTCTTGAACGTCGAGTGCAGAACAGCTCCATCACGAAGTGATCCAGCTGATGCACTGTTTTGCTTCAGAACGCCTCCACATTTGAGCCGCCTCTGATTGTCTCTGAGCAAGACGATCGTGGTTGAATTCGAATACTCATATGGCATCTTGAAGACGCGTCGAGCACAAGACATTCAAGACTCCAGAACTCCAACTTGAAGGCTCCGGAAATTCCAACCTGGACTGTGCAATCGAAGTGTGCTTGGCGCTGTTCCTTCCCAAGGTTTCAAATTCGTGCAAGCATTTGTGCAAAGGCAGAAGCTCGGTGGAGGTCCTCCTTGTTTGAAGTTGTTGATCTTTCTAGACTTGCCTCGGAGGATTGCTTATCACAGCTGCAGCCATGCCGGTGCACACTGACTGATTTTGGCGGTGCCCCCGTGCAAGAAGCACTGATCTGGCCTGCCATGGTTGGAAGCCATCAAACTAATTGCCTCAGTCGGAGTCAGGTTTCCCTTTGCATTTGTTGTGAGCGCCGGATGAGCTCACGAAATGAAGGACGTTCTTGCCATGCTGTGGCGAAGTTTTCGGCAGGTAGGGCGGAAAGCTCCAGCACAGACCGCTGCCGTTGTGACAACCAGCACAGAGCGCAATACATCCAGATGCACACAAATACCAAACTTCAGCAACTTCGCCACTGCAGAACATTAGATAGAAGCCTTGTGTAATCTGTCGTGGTCCTGCGCCGTGGTTCGTGAGTCACCGGAGTCCGTTCCTACCGATGGGATGTCATGAATTTCGCTGCAGACCCTGGGGCAGAGGACCCGGACAGCCAGGTAGAGCGTGCGGTGGTGGATGACTCCGAGAACTGCGAGTATTTGTTGTCCCAGTTCTCTCCCATGTGCGAACTTGGAGCTGGCTCGTTTGGAGTAGTGCAGAAGTGCATCAACTCTACGAGCGGCGGAGTTTACGCCATGAAGACTATTGAGAAGGCCCGAGTCATAGAAAAGGACATGGGGGAGCAGGTGAAGCGGGAGGTGCTGACACAACTGAAGGTCAAGCACAAGAACCTTGTCCGACTGCATTACTACTTCGAAGATGCGGCAAGGATTTACTGCCTTTTGGAGTTTGCAGACCAAGGACAGCTTTTTGCATACTTAAAGGCCGAAAATCGCCCGCTTCCAGAGCCGAGAGCTGCGTCTTTCTTCTTCGACACCGCCAGAGGCATCGACTACCTGCATTCCCTTCGCATTGCACACAGGGACCTGAAGCCTGCTCCTTCGCTAACCCTCCTAGTCCTCTTTTTCATTCGTTGCTTTTCCCTGCCACCACCTGATACCGCCTGATACCTGAATCCCAGGAAAACGTTCTTCTTTTTGGTGACGAGCTGCTTGCAAAAGTGGGCGATTTCGGATGGTGCGTCGAGCTCACGGATGGCCCAAGGCTTACTTTTTGCGGGACACTGGAGTACGTTTCGCCAGAGATGCTATGCGGTGAACCGCATGACGAAGCTGTAGACCTGTGGGCTCTCGGGGTACTTCTGTACGAGATGCTCCTGTCCCACGCGCCTTTCCTTGGGTCCAAGAAGGATTTGATGGACAGAATCTGTGATGTGGATTTCCACATACCCAGGGGATCCATGTCCGCGAGTCCAGAAGAACTCATCCGTGGCCTGCTTGTACGATCTGGCTCATGCCGGATGCCTCTCAAACGGATACTAGAACATGAGTGGTCTCTGGCTGTTTGCATTGCACAGGATACGCTGGCTGCACGGACGGAACTGGCAGTAGGTGATCAGCCACGGCCGAAAGCTCGCAGTCGGAAAAGCGTATCATTTCTTCTTTCCAATGCCTGCTTCGGGGTGCTTGAGGACTCGAAACTTCCGAACGTCATGTGCGCGCGTGTACGGTCGACATGTGCAGGAGAATTAGTTAGAGAAGCTTGAAGCAGGTAGCTTGGTACTTGAAAGCTTAAACCCTCAACTGCTGAGACCCAGAACCCTCGGTGGAAACCGGCAAATCCGCTTGGAACGAAGGTTTTCGTAAGTGCAGGTTGGACGACACGTGAGCTTGACGTTCGGATGTGAGAAAGATACCTTTTTTATTGAGTGCAGCATGATAGAGCACGCCAAACACCGGCAGCATGAGTTCTCAAGCTTGAGTCAGTGCCGGGGCAGTTGCTGGCATCTGCAGCAGCAGTCGGTTTGCAATTATTGCTCGGACGGCTACTCAACCTGCACAGCTTCACACATCAGCACAGCTAGTTATCCGAGCTGCTGAGACTTCGTGCTGCAGCGACTTGCATCCGGAAGTCTTTCCCATGGCGAACAAGTCTGGACCCCAGAAGAAAAGTTTTCGTCTGATCAGCCGCAAGCATGCTCCAAATCTTGCTTCTTCGGATCAAGCGTTCAGAGGTTTTCAGCGGTCCTCACGGCGAAGCAGGAACGGCAAGCTGGTGTAAGCAGTGCGAACATCTGGTATACCAGCGGCAACAGCCTCCTGGGTTCAATTCTGGTCACATGCACACACAATCAAGGGCCAAACGCAGTGTAAAAAGCCTCTGGGCGAGGTGGTAAGGATCTGTGGAAGCTCAAGGCCAATAATCCTGAGCTCTTTGCGAAACAGGCCGGGCTATGGCGATACCCCCACATATGAAATATTATGTGCTGTACCGACTGCACGAACACTGAGTCTCAGGGTGCTGGAGATGCAGTGCCACCCGGCTTCGAAGAGACGGACAAGGCTGGTTGGTATTACAACCGGGCAGAGACTTGTCAGCGCGGGAGCTGTGAAAGAGCGCTAGCAGAAATGCTTCGTTTGGCGAAGCCGAGGACAAGATCTTCTGGGTGCGGAGCACGAGGAAGCTGCTGTGGTTTGATGAAGAAAGCGGTGAACACAAGGACCTAGCGCTCAAGCTCTAGTTGGCTCCAGTTGCCTCGGGTTTCTGGGCCAAGCCTGGCCAAAGAAGGAGCTCTACGAAGGCCAGGTGCTTCCGCTCGCCTTCGGAGGCGGAGCTGCCAGCTCGGAGGCCAGGAGCAAAGACATGCGAAGACCGCTTCAGCCCAGCTCCCTAGCTCCCCAGCTCCCGCCAGACCAGCACCTCTTGGAGTGTGAGCCACACCGAACACTGAGAGGCCAAAGCGACCGGAGCGAAGCCAGTGCCGAAAACCGTGGTGATTCCCGATCTGCACCGCGTGGCCTCCGCCTTGTGCCTCACACTATCAGCATTACCGATTCACCAGAAGTTGACTTGGATGGGTGCGAACAAGACTATGACGAAGCCAGGAGTTGGGCATAAAAATCCGCTAGCTTTCCTTCTGTGTCAACATCGTGAGCGAGCCAAGGAAGACGGAGCTGTCTCATGTCGACAGACCTGCAGCCATGCTGGGCGTCTTTGGAGGCGGTGAAATGACTGCCAGAGCCTTCCCGGAGAGATTAGTGCCAGCCCCAGCCCTCCGTCGACGCACCGATTCTGCTTCTGGTTTGCTTCCGAAGCTCGAAAGGTGAAACTCCTGGGTGCTTCACGGAGTTGCTGGTCTGAAGAGGATCTGCGAAGGGCAGTGCAGAAAGTTCTCCAAGAAGCAGCTGGCGGCGGTCCGGCGTTGCTTGGCCAAAGTCGCTGCCGTTGGTCACAGGATGTGGTGCCTCTGCTCAGGTCGGTGGTTGTCATCATGGGTTGCAGAGCGACTGCCGTCACAACGGACGGAGCTTCATTTCGGGTGACTGTGCGGCCGCTGCAGGCTGCCGGACTCCCAAAGGGCGAAGTGGAGCCGCGCAGCATCGCGTAGGCCAGTGCAAAGTGGCCGCTCGAAGCTTAGGGCTCCCTGGGATTGCTTCCTGCGCCAACGTTGATGGCTTCTTCTGCTACATCCTCCAACACGAGCTTGTCTTTGTAACCCGGCGGCAATATGTCTGCTGGTGGATGCGACGGCCAAGAATATCTTGCAAGGAAAGATGGGCACTGTTTATTCGCTGCCTGCAGTGTGGGTGGCGGGCGTGGACCTTATTTACCTTTGCACTTCCCTTCCATCCGTACGTGACGTAAGTAGTTAGGGTGGAATGCGCAAATGTCAATGCAATGCAATGTGGCCGGTGGAATTTGAGTGGAGGAAAAGCTGAACATCGAAATGTATATAGTTGAAACCTCCACTGGAGGGTTCCGAGCTTTGATTGGGCGCGCTTGATCAGGCACGCAACGGACTCGCTGAAGCCAGGTGGCTCAAGCGGCACCGCATCCGTTTCTGCCGTTTTTGGACGTAACCGCGAGGGCCTTTCGATTTCTTCACCGGGGCTCAGGTCTTTAACAGGGTCTTAGTCCACGGTCCCTGCTTGGTTGGGCTCTGCTTTGTCTGTGGCTTCTTCGAGAAGGTGTGCCTGGTGGGGATTGGCCTGTCCTTCGCCCTGCCAACCTTCGGGCGCACGGCTTTTGACTGCCAGCTTCCTCGCACGCTGCGTTGCGGGATCTTTGGCAGCTGGGTAGCTGCCATATATTTCTACTTCATCTGCCCTTCGACGGCCGAGGCTCGTCGGTACTTGAATGCCTAGGGAAGGGTGGTTATAGTGTATAGTTGACACGATTGACTGCACCGAGCCTCCTCCCTCTCTCGCCCAAGTCCTTGGTGCTGCCCGTGTGAGCGAGGAACCCGCGAGCTCC